AAGAGAACGGTGAAAGATGATCTACGAGTCGGGTGTTTCGCAGGGTGTATTATGTCGGAGGAAGACGAGACGGTGGGAAGTTAAGCGAGGCGCGATCAGCGTTTCGAGAGAGCGATAAATTATTATTTTTTTTCTCTTTTTCACAGACTAATTAGCATAACACTAGTTTCTCATTTAATTAGAAATTAAATTTAATTGCTTTTCCTTATGTTATGTTAATCAAAGGAAGAAAACTCGGAGAGAGAGAGAGAGAGAGAGAGAGAGAGAGAGAGAGAGAGAGAGAGAATCGACGACTAAGCTTCGTGGGTTAAAAACTCTCAGTGCGTTATAGATTATTGGACAAAATTATTTTTTCCCCGATTTTGAGCTTATACTCGAGATTTAATTTTTAGGAAACGATACTGCTTATTGTTTCTTAAAAAATTTATAAATAACGTAAAATGTATAAATAACTAAATATATATAAGAAAAATTAACGTTGCATTTAATTTATATAGAATAAAAAAGAAAATATAAAATAATCAATATATAAAAAATATATAAATATATAGAAAAATATATTAAAATTAATATATAAAATTACAGTTTTTTAAATATGAAGTGTAATATTAAAAATATATATTAGTTTATAAAAATATGCTAGTTTTATTTACTGTATGAATATGAATTTACAATGACGTAACGAGAGTGAGATACATGGATTGGACAATTTATATTACAAATTGACGAGAGAGATAGTTTCGAATTTTATTCCAATATTTTATTGGAAAAAAAAAAATGTAAAACCTGACAATCCCCCAAGTCAGTTATTCTCGGCAAAAAAAGTTATAGCAGGCAATTAACTTGGAAAGCATTTCGAGTTTGACAAACGTACAATAAACTGGAGCTTGGAAATAGTATTGGAAAGAAACAGATGTTAAGAAAAAAATGCTTTTTAAAGAAAGAAGTTCTAGGATGTTCATGAGAAACCTATCCTATAAATTATCCGATAAATATGAGCCAAATGTGGACTTAATGATAATTTAAAAAAATAGTAATAAAAACAATGAAACTGAAAATTATAAAATGAAAAAAGCATTATAAGAAGACATACCTATCAAAGATTGAAAGAAATAAAAAAATTGCTAAATAAAGTTAGCAATATTATTATTGTTTATTTCTCCAAAATATAATAAATAAATAATCATAGAAACGCGTATATTATAATATAAGATAATTTAAAATTAATCCATAAATATCCGTGGCTAGATTAAAGAATATAATATAATATTTTTGCAAGTTAATTTGTATATAAAATCATTTTACATTTTAGTTATTTGTAAAATACTCGTAAGACACGTGCTAAATCATGTGCTAAACATGTTAAGTTTTCAACCTTCGTAAGCGATCGTGGTTCATTGGAAGTGGTACAACAACAATAATAACAACAACACGAACGCGCCAGTTTCCAAATCGATCGAGATGCGAAGCAGTCCGACCACGCCAGTTATCATCCGTGGCAAGATACGCGTTTGACGCGTGGGCGGTGCGTGCCGCCCGAACGTAAGCTCGTAAATCGCCGGTGGCGTCGACCGTGGGATGTTTATTAAACGTAGGAGTTCGAAACGATCGCGAGAAGAAGGGCAAATTAAAGGATCGGTGTTATCGGTGTGTCGATACACTTGTCGTCCCCTCTTATACCTCGATCGTTAAAACATCGAAGGAACGGAGTCGACACGGCTATTTCTGGGCCACTGAATGCCCGCCCTCTGTCGTTTCACGTTTCGACACACCTATGACGCGGGAATCGCTCGTATCGCGCCTCGTTCACTTACCACGATTTCCCACAGGGTACGCGCGTATCGCGCTACGGGAGAATAAAATTTAAACTTGAAATTAATTTTAAATTTAATTTGCGCACGAATGGTAACTCTGCGCCACCACTCGGATTCAGGCGGCAATAGATTCCTAACCTCTTTACGTATAATCTTAGAAGTGTGAAATAATGTAATGTCAAATGGCTAGATTTTTTTTATCTCAAATTGGATCGCGATCGCGGATCAAACTACGTTTTCGGCGTTGATCTGAGTTTGACTGTCGTGGGGATAGAAATATTATTTTCAAAGTTTTTGATTTTTGCAAGCATGAAATATGGTAAAATAAAATTAGTTCGAGCGAAGATGAGTTTGATTTTTCCGTTATCAAATAATAAAAATTACTTTATTAAGAGATTGACGACAGAGAGAATGAAAATAGTGAAAGACATCAATAATGAAATTATTTCGTTAAGAAATTGACGATAAGGAGAAGGAAAATAGTGATGAAAATAATCGCCGTAAGAAAGTGAAAAATAAGAATAATAAACGTGAGATCCCCACGTTATTGGGATCGTAAAGTTTTCTCTCGAAACGAAATAAGAAAGATGAAAGACATCAAACGGCATTTTATCGCGATACTTGCCCCGACGAACCGAGGAAAATATTACAGAAAACAACGATATACACTTTTATATTTTTTTTGTATTTTTAGGTATAAGGAAAGAAAATTTGTTGAATATTAAAGTTTTATGCGTTAATTTGTGCGTGAAATCACTTTGAATTAGCTGCAAAAAAGTCATCGAAAAACGGATGATCGCGCAAAGGATTAAAATGGATGCAATTGAATTTCAGATCGAGAAGGATCAAAGATTAACATACCACCAATTAAAAATTCAAAAGCAGTTCTTTTTCCATCAATTTTTTTATTCCCTATTTTCTTAAAATCTCTAAAAGAACATTAACAAATCTTGAAAAAAAAAACAATATATTCAGTTGTATTTATACATAGAAAAACCAAAATTGCAGGTCTCACGAGTTAACTCGTGCGCTAAGAGGTTAATTTCCATCGTCGTCTTCGAACTTCTTTTACTTACAATCCAGCGAGACTCAAGATCGTTTGTTCGTTAAGGAGAGAAACAAAACGAGGGGATAGGGTAGCGGAAGAAGGTAGTAAATATGTGGGTGGATTACGGATTGTGCACGCCCGATACAATAAAGAAATATATATTTGTACGGTTGACACATTCGGCTAGTACAGCGTTAGAGCCGTGCGTGGGAGCGAATCATATTTATGCCCGGCCTTCCAGATCCTTCCAGGGATTTACCGGTCACTTCCTAGTCCCCATCTTCGAATTGTTTCTTTTTCGAGATTTGCGCGGCCAAAATTACATCCGTTATTTCGCGCTCTGCCTCTGAAGTATTTCCAATTTTTTTCTAGTTAAAATTACGAGTTTTAAAATTGGGAATAATTCGATCTTTATGTTTAATTTGATCCGATAATTTTATGGACATTCGGACATCCCGTGACATTCAGCGAGATAATATATTTTATTTATATCTCTATTCGGAAGGCAGTGAACTCGAGCATTGGTTCGAACAATGCGAGGTTGACATTCGTGACAAAAGGAAGAACATCGCGTGTCCGTGCAACCTGCAATCATAGTTACGAGCGTGAAAACTCGTTCCGTGTCGTCGTAGCACAGGAAGACAGAGAGAGAGAGAGAAGTAACGACAATGAAGGAATCCTGTGATAGGCCCAAGAAAATTATCCGTATTTATGATAATTTCTCTGCAATTATGTATATATATATATAAAAACCTTTGTTTCTTGGCTAAATTTCGTGAGAAAGAGTTTACCATTGTGCGAATTACAATATTACATACGTAACGTAACAATTTGTGATATTTTTAATCCGTGAGGAAGAAAGACGTTTGTTGTAAGAGGGAAGCTTCTCGAACCCCGAACGAGAATGAAATAGTCGGTAATTGCTATAAGAGTAAGAGGAGCCATGGAGCAGAAAATTATCACGGGGATACCCGATATTTGCGTATCCAAATGCCCGCCTTGTTGTTATTATTCTCATCCTTCTTATGAAGAGCGAAGAGAGAAATTAAAAGAGCGACGTGTGGGTCGCGTTGTGGGTCAGCTCGCCTACGAGTCTCGGATGTAAATCGGACGTTACCTTACACTCTCTCTCTCTCTCTCTCTCTCTCGCTCTCTCTCTCTCTCTCTCTCTCGCTCTCTCTCTATTATATATAAAAATTAATAAAATTATATCGAGATGAAACTTGAGATGAACATCTGTTTCGTACTTGAGATCATTTTTGAGGAGGGGAGGGGGAGGTGTACTTGAAACTGTCGGTGGAAGGTCTGTCTGCTCTGGCTCGAAAGATTAACGAGAAACCAGAAACCTATTCTGCGTCTAATAAGCGTATTTATGGTTATCAAGGTCGGTCGCGTAGAATTTTACTAGCTCTCTATTTTCCTGTCCGAAATTATTTTTCGAAAGATTACGACCACTCGAAGGAGGGGCAAGGGAAAGAAAGGAATGATTCGTTCGCGCAGGAAAGGAAAATTAGTAGATGGCCGAAGTTGGATAGGTTGGAAAATAGCTGCGGGGCCACTCCACTCGACCCTTATCAGCCGTATCCATATTCCGTTTCAAAAGCCTCTTGATAAAAATATATTTGAATTTAGAAGAAGACTCGTAACACACGTAGTCGATATTTATTCGAATATAAAAGAAATATTAATTAAAAGTGTGTTATGTATATATATTCGAATATTATATATTTATATTCGAATATAAAAGAAATATTAATTAAAAGTATGTTATGTATATATATATATATTTGAATATTATATATTTATTAAATATATACAATATATTTATATAATATTTATATATATAATATTATATATTTATATTCGAATATAAAAGAAATATTAATTAAAAGTGTGATATATATGTGTATATATATATATATACTTGAAAATTTATGCGTCGATGAATGATCATGACGTTTATATATTATATATTATATATTATTAATATATGTTCGAAATATAAATAATAATTAAAATTATTATCACGATTATTATTTGTGCGATGAAATTATTAAATGAGTAATTCTTTCATCGTTCATTTTTGCACAATATTATTTTTCGTCTCTATATTATTTCTCTTGTGTTTGTGTTCACAGGCTCATGTGGTGTCGGCTTTCGAGCAATCGTTGTCCAACATGACACAACGTTTGCAACAACTGACAGCAACAGCCGAAAAGAAAGTAAGTAAATTTTTCCCACCGACCAAAGAATTGAATTATTTCGATAACTTTCCGAACCGAAATGTATAATAAGTGACCAATGAAAAACAATATCACATCTGATCCCCGTAAATCGAATGAATTTGTGAACCTTGTGTACAGAGAAGTTTCATCGGTAAAGTGTCATCAGTCATAGAAAAAAAATTGGTTACTTAAAATATGAAGTCTCTTACAGTACAACGATAACCAAATGAAATTTTTAATAATAATAAAGCTCGGGTTATTATTCGTAATTCTTGATACTCGATAAAGAAATGCTACACGCTGCATGCTGCAGAAATGAAATATCATTTTCCCTGTCTTTATCTTTCTTCTTTATTTATAAGGTAACCTTGTAAAAAAGTAAAAATTAAAAAAAAAAAAAAAAAAAAAAAAAAAAAAAAAAATTCGAACGTTTCGAAATTGTCATGATGCAAGCGAGTCAAAATTTTGATAAAACTGTCGATCGTTTGTTACCTCCGAAACCTCATCGAAATCAAAGGCTATATCGACCAGGTGACTTGAAAATTATGCAGTTATTATCCGTCTACCCTGATAATAAAATAGAGGTATTAAACGGTATGATCATGATTCCCATCCCTGCAGAAGATGCGAAAACACTTGGTCTTCGAGTACCAGATTCTGAGAGCTTCTCGGCTAAATCGAACTCGTCCTCGTCTAAAAGTTCGGCACACCTGTCCAACACGAAATACGTTGGTAAAAGATCGAATGACGATACCAGGTCCAAGAAAGATGTTAAACGTCATCGGAACGTAGATGTGAACGTAAAAGCGACCAAGAAGCAACCGGATCTGAAACAAGAGCGGAAAGCTCAACGGACACCCACTTTGGAGAGATTGAGCAATTTGCACGCGAAATTGGAACGAGGATTGAAAAATATATCGAACCGAACGAAAACTCGGTCGAAAGTTGGGCCGGAGAGCGCCAAGGAGTCTAGCAATTTGAATTCGACAACGATACGTGGTTACGGACGGTCGTCTGGTCGATCCCTGAAAAAGAATTCGACGTCTCAAGAGGACAAGCTTAGAAAGGAATCGAGTTCAAAATGTACGAAACAATTGTTCAGCATGGCCGACTCGTGGAGCAGCGACTCGATAGTTAGTCATTCGGATAACTGTGCCTGCTGTCACAGCCGAGAGCCTTGTCCCTTTCACGGAAGCGAGAATTTCTTTCAAGAGAAATAACCAACAATTTTCCCTCCTTCGACATTAAATTTGAGAAATTTCCATCGATACGAAGTTGTAACGAACATTAATGTGTCATTAATTCGAAAAAGAAATGATCGATCCTGAAATTCATTCGTCGCAAAGCTTTCTCTACGAGCTTTCAACAATTTGTACACTTAAATCCCGATTTTAATTCTCTATACGTCCAAAGAAATTCTAATCGCTTAAATCGATTTATTTAATCATAAAGTAATGTGATCGAGATGTAAGAAAATATGAATATAAAAAGAAAAAAAAAAGAATCACGAAAAATGAAAGTGTAACTATCCGGAGAAAGTGGGAAAGGAAACAAGAAAGAAGTCGAATGATGTGTCAAATCATCGTAGAAATAAAAATATTTAACATCCTTGCGAATAGCAAGCGCTGTTATGTCATATACAATCAACCGTATATAATTTTTATTAGTATATATATATATATAATAAAACGTGAAATAAAATGTTAATATAGAAAATTTGATCCATGTGCTTATATTATTCAACTTTACGTAGTTGTTTGCGAAAGGGAATTATTTCACTCCGCTCTGATCCTCTCTCTTCGAAATTTCGAAATAACCAGACAATAAATTTTAAACCTCTTTAAATCTCGCATAAGTACGTCGACGTATAACGAATTGATGTAGCGAACACCAGAAATTCCAGATGGCTCGATAAATATTAATTTCCCTGTAATTTTCAGGACTCGGAACTTCAAGAATTGAGAGAAACGATCGAGAGGCTTCGAAAACAGAGCGCCGAGGCCAGTTTAAATAATGGGACAACGGGCGCGAACAACGGTCGCCGTCACACACTCGGCGATTCCGATTCCGGGACAACAGGATGCACCGGAAACAATAACCATCAAGGTGCCTCGATGGCGAGACAATTGTCCGCGGACAGTGTCACCTCGTTGAATTCGTTGAGCAGCGCATGCTCGGCGAGCAGTCATCACAAGAAGAAAGGTTGGCTACGTAGCTCTTTCTCGAAAGCTTTCTCGAGATCACGGAAAAATAGACACGGCTCAGTGTCCGACGCCGAAGATTGCAAGGAGAATGCTAGCGGAGACTTGAGCGCGCCGAACAGTCCTAGATTGCCTAGCGCCTCTAAACACGAGTCTTCGCGAAGTGGTCAAAATGGTAGAAGCAACGGACAGAAATCCCCCGAAGTTGAAAATCCATTGACGGGAAGCAAAAGCAGTTCGGCTTTGTACAAGAAAGAGGACGAGGACGTGGTGGAATTGAAGAAACAACTCAGGGAAAAGGATCTCGTGTTAACGGATATCAGACTCGAGGCTTTATCTTCGGCGCATCAATTGGAATCGTTGAAAGACACTGTGATCAAAATGAGGGTATATATATATATATCTTTATTTTCTAATATTATTTAAATAAATATTGTTTCGTTCTATTTGATATTCTTTTCTATTGATTTTCTTCTCTTCTAGAACGAGATGCTTAATTTAAAGCAAAATAACGAACGTCTACAGAGACTGGTGACGTCAAAATCCTTAACATCGTCTCAATCATCGTTACCTAGTGATCCAGATAGACGTTTCAGTATGACAGAAGTAGCTTCCACTGTTGCCGCGCTTTCAAATGGTGATACTAGTACGACAGCTGACCAATTAGAAGATTTAAATGTACCGGAACATTCAGTGGTACCATCGACCACCTCGACTACAGGAGAGCCAACTTTGGAACAAGATACGGATGGGAAAAGAATTAACGTCGCTATCTACCTAGGCAGTGAGAAAAATTTCAACTATAATCTCGTAACTGGAAGTACTTCGGACGGTAGTATCGGTGAACCTCCTCATTGTGTTATCGCGAATGTTTGCATCAGTAATAAAACTACCTGGGATTCTCTTGATTCCACTGTAAGACGTTGTTTCAAGGAATACGTTTCGAGAGTTGATCCCGTGACAAATTTGGGCCTAGGAGTTGAATGTGTTGCTGCTTATCATCTCGGAGAAGCTTCTAGGTACGTATCTTCTAATAGCCTTTTTTTTTTTAATCATTCCATATTATATAATTTTTCAAATACGATTCTTTTTCATTTTTATGAAAATATCTAAAAAGAAATATTATATACGTATATATATATATATATATATTTTTTTTATATTTACACAATCACAGATGCACTACAGATTCTCAACATCCAGAATTGCTCCCTTGCGGCTACTTAATCGGTCACGTAAAGACCATTTATTTGGTACTTTCTGGTTATTCGTGGCTCGCTGTCGATACTTTAATACCACGATCGATTGTGCAGCGATTAATATCTTTGCTAACCGAACATCGTAGAGTTATTTTATGTGGACCTAGTGGTACTGGCAAGAGCTATTTGGCTGGAAAATTAGCTCATGCATTGGTGGATGCCGATAATGATACGAAAGATGCTACGGCTGTAGCCACGTTCAATGTAGATCACAAATCCAGCAAAGAACTTAGACAATATCTCGCCCATATCGCCGAAAGATGTGATTCGAATGCAGCTGATGAATTACCAAGGGTAATCATTCTTGAAAATTTACAACACGCTGCATCTTTAGGAGAATTATTCAGTGGCTTGCTCGGTACTAGACACTCATCTTGTCCAGCTATTATTGGCACCATGAGTCAGGCTACTTGTAGTACCACGAATCTTCAATTGCATCACAATTTTAGGTATATACTTAGCTTTCTAATTTATTCTATAATTTTAAGATGATATATTTATTTTATAAGTATTCTTGGAAATATTTTTATCATGATATATATCATATTTTTAGGTGGGTACTTTGTGCTAATCATATGGAACCAGTTAAGGGATTCTTAGGTCGCTATCTTAGACGGAAACTGCTGGAACACGAATTACGCGAATGTGGTGGAACTAGAAACGCAGAAATGGCAGCAGTTGTCGAATGGTTACCCCGGGTTTGGCTACATCTTAACAAGTTCCTAGAAAGTCATAGCAGTTCTGATGTCACAATAGGTAAGACGTTTAAACATTGAATATATTTTATTTATTTTCAATCAATAATAATCTTAAATGAAAATGAATATGTAGGACCTCGACTATTTCTATCCTGTCCGATGGAAGTAACAGGTTCTCAAGTATGGTTTACGGACTTATGGAACTATTCTGTAGTACCATATCTGGTGGAAGCAGTCAGAGAAGGATTGACACTTTACGGCAGACGCGTTAGCGGAAATGGAAATGGAGATTCTTCTTGGGAAGATCCAGCTCAATTTATCACTTCCAGTTATCCTTGGATTTCTACGCATGCTGTACACGGTGGTAGTGATGCTCTACTTCGTTTAAGACCAGAAGATGTTGGTTACGATGTTGTTACGTCCGGACACACTTCTGGAGTTGGTGCATCAAGCGTGAAAAGTCTTGGTAGCACGCATAGCGACACTGAAGGAGATCCTCTAGTTAGTGTTTTTCTTCTAAATACATTCAATTAATACTAAGATGTGATTTATATGTAAAAAATGTATAAAAAAAAAGAAAATCTGCATATAATAATTACTAATTATATAGTAATTAATAATTACTATTACATAATTTTACAAATATAAATACAAATTTATACTGTTGCAGCTGAATATGTTGATGAGATTACAGGAAGCAGCCAATTATTCGAGTCCTCATAGCAACGACAGTGATTCGGTTACTTCCCTTGATTCATCGCACACTCGACATTCGGAGGACTTAAGTTCATCAACATCTTCGTCAAGAGGCGTAGAATCGGCACTTTAATTAGCAATGCTATTGTCATTAAGAAAAATGAAATACAACCTGAATATGAATATCTTATGAATATAATCGTACATCAGGCCAGTTTGTAATGTTCCATTTTAAAAATAACGATTTACGTATGAGAGTATCTGAGAAAAATCTGAAGAAGAAAAGAAACGGAAAAGAAATCAAAAATAAATTTTGGATATCTTTATGATATAAATCTTTTCTTTTTAACGTTTTATGACAAAAATATCAAACAAATATTAAACAGCCAAGCTATAAACAAAGACTAAGATATTTTCAGCAATGCGTGATAGGATGCTCTTTATAAAATACGTCCTTCCATTTGTTTTTACGTAAAGCAATGATGTGCATTAAAAAAATGAAATTAAAAATGTCAAGAAAAAAGCCTACAGCTGGCCTATATTTATTCTAGTTTTTATGTGCGCCATGCACTTTGGTGTGATATGTAATTAAATAAGTAAGAGATAAACAAGCGATATTTCTATGTTCTTTGGATATAATGACGTATAAATATGTACGTCATCACGCAATGCAATAATCTACGCTGCCGTTATGGAAGTACGAGTCTATTTTAAACAAATACATTTCTATGATTAAATCAAGTACGATTAAGTGTAGCTTAATGCGACTTTACTCGAGAAATTTTGATGGAATATACAGTATTATTATAGGGAGTAAAATAAAAGGGCTTCGAACTGAGCCAAGATTTAGGATCGAGGAACCGATGTTCCTTTCGTCCATTACTTTCAGGTAAAATAGCTTATCATATGCGATATACAGATCTCATGGACGGACCGCTCAATGGAGTATTGTTTCGCCTTCAGAAATATAGCACAGTTCGAAGTGGGTACTGATGAATGTGCGTGCAAAAATAGTCTATTTATACATACTTTGCTACAAAAGTTCTATTTAATTAAAAAATGTTAATATAATATATATATATATATATATATATATATATATAATATAACATAATATATATATATATATATACATATATATACATATACATATACACAATCTAACGATGGCGCTAAATTTATGTTACGAATAAAATTTATAATTAGCTAGTAAGATACGTGAGTAATTCTGGTCATGTAACATTGTAAATACAAAAGACAAATGAAATGTATGATGACGCTAGATACAAATTTGATTCAAAATCCCATAGTAGCCTGCAAGATCTCTTTTAATAAAATGACGTGTAAAGTGTATAAAGAAAAAGAGAAAAAGATGAAATGCAAAGGAATTGAATCCTTCATGTGCAATTTGTCAGATTATAGCGCATCAAAATGATAAAAAATAACAGGCTACATAAAATATACATAGTGTACATGTTTGATAAGCCTTGAAGTCGATTTCAGAGTTTGATCGATATTATAATGTCCATAAATATGATGTGCATGTAATAATTATACAGTCGCATTTACAGGTTTTTTACGTTTGTACCGTATTTATACGCTGTACGACGCTGCACTGGATCTTCATTCAAATAACGATAATTATCGTGTCATCAAATAAATTACACTAAACTTTACATGATTGGATATGCTAATTTGATTATTCTTTTTAACCAATCTCATTTTTCCATTTTATATGATAGTTTTGTGATTTTTTTTACAGACATTAAATCTCGAATACGTATAAAAAGCTATTTTATTTAAGTCAGAAATATATACTACTTGTGCATAAATATTATTAAAAAATACAGTTACAGTAAATAGAAACAATTTTAAACAAGATTTCATTAAATATTAAATATAATTCATCGTAATATTAAAAAAATATGGTTCAAATATCATTTAAAATATAAATATGTCTCTAATATTTCAAACATTAAAAGTGAATTGCAATGAATATTGCACAAAGTATAGGCTACCGATGATCTAAAATAACATTGGAAGCATATTTCTTATTTTTTAAACAATATTCTACAACTGCATAAATAGTAAGTAATCTTCTATCCATAGCACTTAAATGGACCTCGGTAATAAGGGGTTGAACATCAGCCATTATTGATTCATGAGCGACTAGTTTTGAAAGCGCTATGCTCAAAGTGCCACCACTAAATAATTTTAAACGATCCCAAGTAGTTTTATGAATCCTAAAATCAAAAAAAAAAAAAAATAATTCAAAGGATCTTAGAAAATAAATTTTGATGAAAATATTGCAATTATTTATTATAAATGAATTAAATTAATACAAATATAAATACGCACATACAACACTGATATAGAGGTGCTAAAATATCAAAATGATCTATATCAGGGTTTCCAAGACTTTTCCCGTTATCAATTAACAATACAGCTGGATTATGAAAATTATTCTGTGCTAATTCGTAATGATGGCGATCACCATTATCCATCAAAAAATCAAAGATCGCAGTATCTACTAAATCTAAAAGTCTACTCGATGTTTGTGGAGAATATGCCTTAGAATCTTTCACCTAAAAAATCAAATATTTCAATACTTTTACAAATATTACTTTCAAAGAAAAAGAGACAAAGAAAGAAATTTAATTACTTACATTTATGTAATATACTTACTTTTTCACAATAGTTATCATCGGTTTCCCATGTTGCAAGTTTGTTTTTTTTATAAGTTCTTTGCCATGGATGACGATGTTTTACAAGTTTTAAATATCGAGGCAACCAGGAAATTAAAGCACCTTCTAAAATATCCCCTACTCCACACACTGGATCTGCAGGAGAGCAATAATGGCAAACACCATAAAGACAAGTATCATTACCATCTTGATATATAGTAGCATAAAGTTCAGGAGTTGCATATGGCCGAATTTCATTCCTTAAATCAACTAAAAAGAATTGCATATAAATATAATATAATATATAATAATAAAATATTTCAAATCATATTATACAAAATGATAAAAAAAAAATTCGAAATTTTTAAGATAAGTAATATTTAAAGAAAAAAAAATTCTAATAGATATGAGTTAAAAAATTAATATTTTCAAAGTTATAAATAATTTTTTATTTCAGTTAAAACGGATGTTTATTTTAAAAATTAAAAAAAAATGAATTATTTTATAATAATTACTTTATAATTTTATTTTTTCTTTTCTTGATTACAAAAATTTTTCTATTTCAGAAATTTCAGATTTCAGAAATATTCTCTTTTAATTTTTATATACATTTATTATGATATCTTCATCACAAAATTGTTTTTAAAATTTTAATGAATAATGAAATAAAAAATTTTTTTTTATAATTTTGAAAATATTAATTTTTTCAATTTATATTTATCAGAATTTTTTTTATTTATCAAATACTATCTTAAAAATTATAAATTCTTTTCAAATTCATTTACTTAATATATATGAATTTTTGTTATAAATTATATTATTATATTTATAACAAAATATATACATTTTCTAATAACTGTAAGCGGTACTCTTCGTAAGGCCAATAAGGAAGATAAATGGAATGCTACTACTTCGGCATTATGTCGATCTTTTCCGTGATAAACAGGTCCTCGAATAATAGCGTCCCTAGAATACCACTGAGGCTTAAACATCGCTTTCGTTCCATGTTCCAAAGTTAACATCAATTTCAATTGCGTACCAAGTGGTGCGTTATCCGCGCGTATCACTTTTGATTTACGCAAAATATCCAGAATTGTTCCTAATTCGGGTGCAACTGGTGGTATTAACTGATGTGCATCAGGCCACTAAAAATATTAATATTTGGAACAACAAAGAAAAGACATCGCTTTACATTATTTAAATATTTTGCTACAATGCTAACATTACTATTAGGAATACTCCATATATTTTTTTGAACGTTAGGCATTATCTTTAATTCAGTTAACAATCTTTCCATTACTACTGTATAGCTAGTATTTTGTTTAAAATATCTTGATGGTAATATTTGTATTTCTTCTTTAATTTTTTTTATCATATCTTTCGCAACCGATTTTCGTGAAGCTTGTAAATTTTGTTCTGCTTGAAATATTAACTGTTCTTGTTCTGGTTTCAATTGTGAAGTAGGCATGCCTTTAGAAGTTTTTTGCGACGAGCTCTCAACGATCATTCGAATAAAATATAAATTGACGCTAAGGACAAGAATCAAAAGACCGCCCAAAGCGATGAGAGCACAGCGTCGGCCAATCATCTGTAAACGAAATTTAAGATTTTGATTGAATGAACAAAACATAGATGGCGTGCAATTATTTTACCTAGATATTATAACGTATAAAAACTTTATAACTTAAAAATCAATTCATACCTATACTATTTATATTCTTTGTGAATTTTTTTTATCATGATTATCTAATATGTAATATAATAAGTATTTTTAATATATGTATAAGAAAATGTATATAAAAAAAATTGAACTAATATTATCGATATTATAAAAATCAAACTTTTAAATTAAATATAATGATTATAACTAAATTAAAAACTAATGGAAAACTAATAAACATTGCATGCAACACAATTATATTGTTGCAACAAAAGTATATATAAAGCTATAAATTGAATTAAAAAACACTGAAAATTTCTTTTATAAAACTTTAAAGAAAAACATTTACTAGTATCACCTTTAAAAATTGGCCACGCAATTGTTGTCACCTAGTAATGGATATTTTCCTCATGTTTCGATAAATCTTCTGTTTAATCGCATCCAAGAATGAAGCGGCAAGTGTAGGTCGCCATTTTTAACTTCAATCTAAAGTACTTGCTTATTCAAGTGCTGTGTAAAGCATTGGATTACAATGATCGTGAATAAATATTTTCGATAAAATTTAATCAATATTAAATAATTTTAAAGATATTAAAAGATTTCAATTTTTTAATATTTTAATTATTAGAATTCAAATGTAATTCATATATATTATACACATATTAAGAACAAAATCATTAGAAATATATATATATATACATATATATTTATAACTATTATATATAAAAATTTTAAAAACTATAAAAAATATTTTTAATGATTTTATATATATATATATATATATATATATATATATACATATATTTAAAAAAATTAGACAAGGATAAAAAATTATAAAACAATGGTTATAATCTTGAATTTATTTTATAAAAACATGTAAACTACATGGTGAATATAATCAAATCAAATTTAGGCTATACTCCAAATGGAGTAAATTTTTTTTCAAAATGTGGTGGTGTTCGAATGGCTCGGTTCTAAATTGTTTTTATGTCTATAGTTACACTCGTACAAACATTTATATCAATATATACATTCCAGCATATATTTTCATTCTCTTCGTTGTCTCTCTCTTTCCCGAGCTAATTCTGTAGCATAATCATATGGCGACCCCCTTCTACAATTAAAAAGAATTTATATAATTAAATATCTATTTATTTTTTTTTTATTCATATATATTATATTATATTGTGCATAATATATGTACACATATATATTACCTGTCCCGATGACGATCTTTATCACGATAACGATCTTTACTTCTATCTCTATGTGATCTGTCTCTGCTACGACTTCTGTAATCTCTTTGTCTTCGACTTCGATCACGGCTGTTCGATCGTCTACAATGTCGATCTCTTTCTCGATCTCTTTCTCGTGCACGTTCTCGCTCTCTGTCTCTTATGCGATCTCGCTCACGGTCTCGATCCCTGTATTTGTCCTTGCGATCTTCATCAGATCTGGAACAATATTATTCGAAGGGAAGTAATGTTGAATTAATGAATATAATATTTTAAAAATATTAGCCTGTACATATATATTGCACTTTATAATGGAAAATACCAAGAAATTAGACATTTTTAACATTTCGATATTATCTCTTTGTAGTAATTTTTCAAATATGAGATAAGATATAATCTTTTCATGAAAGAAAAGATGAAAGAAAAAGACACATAAAAATGTAGAAAAAGATCACTTTATATATGAAAATAATTATTCTCACGCGCTTAATGAAAAACAACTTTTGAAGAGGTAGAAAACAATCATTCCACTTTCACCGTCTCTCTATTTCTGCACTGTTGAAGCAGCTGATGGTTTCCTTAAACTGAAAAAAATTGTATGTATAGTGAACTGCAATTCAAATTGCTCATACAATGAATAGTTATTATAATCCATTATAAAATAATTACGAAGCATTTGTAATTGAAAAAGCAGTCATTATTAAAAAAAAAACATTCCTGTTTCATAATAATGCATTTATATGCTATTAATGTATATATAGCATATAATAAAAAATATATAATATAATATATATATAAATAATAAAAAATACAATAAAAACTTATATACTCTATATTTTTCTTAGTACTTTTAATTATTATCATTATTATTATATTTTTTTAAGGCTATGCTATCATCTATAAAATTAAGAACAGATCAAGAACAAAGAAATTATAAAAATAATATTAAAATTTTTACATTATGAAATCATGAATTTTATAAAACTCATTTATAAACATGTTTTCTATTATGAAAGCTATGAACTTAACTATTTTAGTGTGATAAATAGAATAATTTTTTTCTATCTTTTTCTACATTTTTTTTTTCCTGTCATAAGAAAAAAGACAGAACTTTCTTATTATTACCTGAAATTTATATATATTTAAAAATCTCATATTCCTTGATATCCAATATGTAAAATAATCAATGTACAGTTATTATAAATATTGATATAATTTTTAAACAATTTTAAATTATTTAGTTTGTCAATATTGCTTTTGTAAAAAATTTGATAAATTTATTAATTTATTTATTTTTTAATAGCATATAAATATTTAATTTTCAATAGCATATAAAAATATGATATTGGACTAAATTTATAAAACAAATAACTGTACAAAAATCAAATAAGAACATATATACAAAAGAAAACTGAATGATGATACACTGAGATCAAGAGTATTTTCCTGGAGATGGTACGTCTTTAATCTTCACCCAATTTCCCTAACAAGTTCATAGAATATTATTAACCTTATATAAATTAATAACGTGATTGTATTCATACCACGTAGACGCACCTGGCTCGCCAGTGGCTTGTTCTTTCAGCCTCACCCCATTGAGCTTCACTATCTGGGATATGTCGTGGTTGATTCCGTGAGGTAAGATTGCCATTATCTTTTCTACTACTACTATTACTATATTTTCCATGACTATTTAAGATAATAGGTGGTTTTGCATTTCGAGCATTCATAGACTGTTGAGGAAACCTTTCTGCTAATCGATGTTCAAGTTCTTTTTGAATAGGCACTGGTATTCTTGGAAATAATGTTGAAAACCATTCTAATTTTGTCAGGAATTGTTTAAGAATATCACCCATTTTCATTACTTGTCCTCCTCCAGCTTTTACATCTAATTCTTCTTCATCTTCTAAATAATCACTATACCAATTAAATAAATCTGCCGGTGGTTGTGTATATCTATTAATAATAATAACATATGCAATATAATAAAATTAATATTATGAAATTATTAAATAATTTCATGATAAAATTTAATATTTTAATATACTTACCTAATATACATAAATCCTAATGCTCGAATATATGGTGAATCAGGATGATTGATAAGACCATTTAATTGTTTCCGTGTTAACCTCAAGGTGAAGAGTTTATATAGTAGACAATAAGCCGTTGAAACAATTCCACCAGCACCAACTCCTCGGACCTGCATGAACCGCTAAATTTACACCCCCCTATGTCAATTAATCACATACATATTATATTATAATATATTGACCGAGAACATGCTACTCTGCAATTAAGTATGGTATTAAGTATTAATATCTGTATTCATATCTGAGCCCAACATTTTGATATTGATGTCTGATTATACAATAATAATGAAAGTCTAAAATATTTAGAACTCTCACTTTAAATGATTTAGTTTAAATGCTTTCACCTTTTTTATTTTTATTAGCAGTTCTCATTTCATAGTGTCCAGGTCCTCTAAAATGCTATAAATTTGGACTATTTCTACGTATATGATAATAATTTTATGATCATCTTAATTTTAAATTAATAAATAACAATTAAAAATTAGTAATGTATTAAAAAACATACTCACGCCTCCACACATGCCAGTTTGGCCTGCTGTTTTCCTGCTTCCTTTTTCCCATGGTTCCAAATGAGATACCTTGTAGTAAATTTCATCAATAACCTCGTGGTATGTCTTCAATTCATATAAATTTACTTTAAAATAATGTGATGACTGTATATTTGTTAAAATTAATGGATTTAAATTCATAGTCCTTTCATTTCCCCAAAGAGGTAATATATTTGATTTTTTACCCTCCTTTTGAGTAGGTCTACGTTCTTCATCACAACCACTGGAATTATTCCATGGTGAACCTATGTACAAATGTCTCATTTATATATTTAGTAAATCATAACAGTAATCAATGTATAATCATGTAGTAGAGGTTAAGCGTATCATGAGCGATCATAACAGGTTATAAAGTATTATATTTATCAAACATTATAAAAACAAAATATCATAAAAAAAAAAATATAAATATTATAAAACAATGCTAAATATATTTACTTACCATCAGCTCCTTCCGTTTCTTGCACTTGCATGTTTGTATCGTAAACTTGCAATATAAATCTTACAATGAAATTCAACAGATTAGACTCACCAGACAAATTTTGTATTTCATACAAGATTTATAAAGTTCATAAATATAAGAGAAAATAAGTATATTTGCGCATTCAAAATAATTAAATACAAATTTTAAAAGCTCGCGTAACTTTTTTTTCTGCAAGTGTATGGAAAACTGACGTCAACGGGAAGCGAAAAAAAAGACACAATACTGTAATGCGCATGTCTAAGAAATGTATACATCCGGTTTCATTCGTTTGTGTATTATTTTCATTTAAAAGTAAATTACTAAAATTTCATTTTTTGAATGAATGAACATTAAAAAAATAACTAAAATAGAATTATTTAAGTTCTTTAAATCTCAATAAATAAATATTAAAACAAAATAAATACATATATATATAAATATATACATATATATATACAAATTATAAATATTTCAATATTTTAAATTACATATAAAATAATGTATAGTAAAAAGAATTTTAAAGAAAGTATGAAATTATATTTATTTTTACTTTATATTCTCTTATAAAAATATAATATCATAAATTTATTTGATATTTAAATATATTTATTTCTTTTTTTATAATATAAAAAAATAAACATATAATTTAAACTTAATAAATTTTATATATATATACATTTATGCGATTATTTGTTCATCAAGAAATATCGGAAATAAACAAACTATATCACGTGACAAAATTCTGTGATTTTTAATCACAGATGAGATATAAAATAGATTTAACGTTTAACACTTATGTGTTCTGAAATACCGATAAAAAATTAGTATTTAGTATGTTCTTTATGATTTAGATATAATAAATACAGGAATTATATTTAATTCAATCATAAGAAATAATAAAATTAATAAATAAAGATAATTTTTTTAATATTTCTTTGAATTATATATATTGTATTCATAGTTCTTTTGATTGCTAGGAATAATAGACTTATGTATGAATTGAATTATTTATAAAATAAAAATTACGTTCGTATATTATATTATAATAAAAATAATTTCGACTTTTATCATAAAAATGAATTTAAATATAATTTTAATAAAACTAAATTTATTTGTATTAGTATAGAATTATAAATATTAATATAAATATAAATATATATATATATAATATATTTATATAAATTTATATATAAATAATATAATAAAAATTTATAATATATTATACATTTTTTAAACTATAAATAAAAAGAGTAGAAAAAAAATAGAGAAATTATAAAAATATTAAAATTAGCCATTTTCAAAGTGCCGCAAATGAAATATAAAGAAAAGACAGAAAATAATAAGACAAAGAATAAAATAGGATTAGAATTAATTTTTAGTATTAACTCTTAGTATAAAACATATTTTTTCAAACTGCTCAAAAGAAATTTTTTAATTTTTATTCTATTTTATCCTAGCTTTAAAAAGATATCTTTAATATTTGAAAAATAGCGCTGGCAATTAATTTTTATTTTATCTCTATCTTTTTTTTATTATTTTTTTTATTCTTTTTTTATGTTTTATTTTCAGTATTATTTAAAAATGATACTGATTTCAATATTTTTATCCTATTTTTCCCATCATATGTTTTACTTGCTATAACTTTTTGGCGCATGCGCATAATTCATAAATAAAATACGAAATGTCAATTGAATATATTTTCAGTTCTTCAACTTCAGTCTATTTTCTTCAACATATATATATAAGTAATGTATATATTTTCATAATCACTTACGTTTTCGAAACGTTATTATGTTTCTTTATGATTTTCAAAAATTATTTTGATTATATAGTAATTAAATTGTTGTCAATATGACAATAAGATTTAATTCACATCGAAAGGTACAATCTAAAAGGATATTATTTTTAATACATAACATAAAAATATCTTGTAATAAAATGTATAGGTTACTTTGAATATTTAATATAAATAATAATTCATGTGTAAGTATATATTATAATAATGTAATATATAATCAGTTATATAATCATAAAATAAAGTATCAAAATTATTGCAGCATTTATTTTTTAAAAACATGTTAAGATTTAATCAATATAATAGGAAATCAGTTAAAAATATAATTTGTGTTCCATATTGGGAATTTATGCTGATGAAAAGATTTAAACATCAACATAATATGAAGGTATATTTATTATTATCTTATATATAATATTAACTTTATTTTTTTAATATCGAAAATACATCATATTAAATTATATTATATATTTATTAAATTTCTATAGAATATATTTATTATTTAATTTTAATAAAAATTGAAAATCTAATGAAAATTTTTGTTTTTTTTTGTAAAATTATATATATAGTTATAATATATTATATATATATTATATATATATATTATATATATATACATATATATGATGTGATATATAATATCATATATAATTATATATTTAACAAAATATACATTGAATTTAATATTATGAAGAAAAAATATATGAATATAAATAAAATCTATTGTTATCAATAGATTTGATATATGTTATTGTTATATCAATAGATTTGATATATGTTATTGTTTATTTGATATATATTAATTAATTGTATAATGATATTACATTAATTATAAATTTTAAGAAATTTATTATATTATATTTTAAGAAATGGTATCAAACTCTAGAAGTTGCAGAAGATTGTGAAGATGAGACATTAAGATTAGCATTTGTCTATCAAGCAAAAAGATTCCATCCAGATAGTGGTACATCAGAAGCTAATGCAACTAAATTTTCTGAAGTATAATATATTTATTTACTAATTAAAAAAAAATTTACTAATTAAAAAATATTATAATATGAATATTTTTTTCATAGATTGAAACTGCTTATAGACAAATTCGTAAAGCAAGAATAGAAAAGAAAGAAAATTGTACAAATCTACCTGAAGTTGAAGAATTTGACATTAAAGTATATATGCAAATAATATAAAACATATACATATTTTAAATTATTTTTTGTTAATTTCACACATATATATATATATATATTTATATATTTATATATATATTTTAGCATACTGCACCACAACATCGTCATTATTTAGTTTATAATGTAGGTATTGGAACACATAGCAAAAGACAAAAATTATATACAATGGAAAGAGCTCAAAAAGCAGTTGACAGTGTACTGGAACATAGATTAAAAAAATTACAAACTGAAGAACGTAATACATTAGTTGGAATGGATAAACAACATGCAAAAAATATTAAAACACGTTTTGGTATGGATCGTTTAGTAGAAGATTTAATTCAAGAAGCAATGAATAGAGGTGAATTTAAAGATTTACCAGGAATGGGTAAACCATTGAAAGAGAATACAAATACTCGAAATCCATATGTTGATTTTGTTACTTACAAATTAAATGAGGTATAAAATACTAAATTAAATCGAAAATTTACAATAAATAAGTAGTACATAAAATTAAATTGCAGATATTAATAGAAAATGGATTTACTCCGGAATGGATACAATTATCTAAAGAAATTAGAGAAGAAACACAAGATTTACGAAAAAAATTAATAAATGCTCGTAGTAAAGTTGGACATATTCCATTAAATTATAAAGATGAAAAAACTTGGAAGAATATTGTAGAAAATTTTAAATCTAAAACAAAAGAAATAAATATTAAAATCGACAAATACAATTTATTGGTACCTATACTTCAGAAACAAATGCTTCATGTTAAATTAGAGGATCTTGCAAAAGAAGCACTTTCGACACCAGCACAAGAAACATTAAAAGAAAAAGTAAATTCTGATATCTCTGTCGAAAGAAAGGATAATTTATTAACAGGAATGATATCTTCGATTTTTAGTAAATAATTTTATAGAACATATATTGCTTTCAGAATTTCTTTTAATCAATTAAAAATGTAGTTTATTTTTATTTTTAAAAAATATAATGTATAGAAAATAAGTGTATCAAAAATATATGATACATAAAATAATTGTATATATATTTTTTAATATTTCCATAAAATAGTATTATCTTCTTTTAATTGTATTCTACCAGTAGCTAAATATTTTAAAGCAAGTGGGAAAATGCGATGTTCAGCTATTTTAACTCGTTCTTGAAGACTTTCTATCGTGTCATACGGAAATACAGGTACTGCTGCTTGTTCAATAATTGCTCCCGAATCTATATCAGTCTAAAAATGATTTTTAATTATATAAAATTATATAAAAACAATCGTATATGTAAATAAATTTTTAACATAATATATTTATATTAATTATGTATAAAAATATATCATACTTCCACAAAATGTACTGTACATCCTGAAACACGTACTCCAGCTCTTAAAACATTTTCATGTGCATGTGCACCTTTAAATGATGGTAATAATGAAGGATGTATATTTATCAAAGCACCATGCCATTGATTTACAAAATTATCTGATAAAATGCGCATGAAACCAGCAAGACAAACTATTTCAACTCCAACAGCATTAAGTTCAATATTCATTGCTGAATCAAAAGTTTCTCGACTAGAATAATCAGTATGTTTAATAACCTATTTAGATTAAAATTATAAAACAATAGATAAGTATACAAATAATAAAAAAATTAAATAATATTTAAATAAAATAAAAGTTACCACTGTTTTTATACCAGCTTTTTCAGCTCGTTTAATTCCTTCAATATTTGGTTTATTTGATATCACTATAACAATTTCAGCACCGATATTTTGGGATGAATCTCGTGTTGCATCAATTAATGATTGTAAATTAGTTCCACTACCAGATATTAAAACGCCCACTCTTTTTAAAGGCTTACTTAATTTTGAAATGATGTCAGGTATGTATTGTTTCATTCTTAATTCTAATGCTTCTTCGAAATTTTTAACATTTATTCTAAATTGTTTATCTGTAATATTTTTAATATGTATAATATTATAAATAAAATTCAAATAAAATAATATTAAATGGAACTTACTTTTATTATTAGTTACATACTTACTTTTATTATTAGTTACATATCCAATAATTTTAGGATTTTCTATTTGTAATAAATTTAAAACTTTTTCTTTATCTTTTTCTGAACAAATTAAAATAGCACCAATGCCACAATTAAATGTTTTCAACATTTCTTCTTTATTAATTCCTCCTATAAAAAATGATTATATGAAAAATATAGGAATAATATATTTGCAGATTTAATT